AAAGTGGTAAATAATAACAACTTTAGTGTACAAGTGAAACTGATATTAAACTAGAGGCAATGACTCATTCAGGTGGTAAGTTTGTGTTGTGTAATTTAAACAGTGCAGTCAAGCCCCTAATTACATAATAATGTCTGTGTTTGTTTTTGTTTCAGATATTCAAAGAGAACAAGAAAAAGTTAAAAGATCCATCAAAGATGCTGCCAAAAAGGGCCAGAAAGACGTGTGTGTGATCCTTGCAAAGGAGATGATTCAGTCAAAGCGGGCCGTCACAAAACTTTACGCCTCCAAAGCCCACATGAACTCTGTGCTTCTCAGCATGAAGAATCAACTTGGTGAGTGCAGGCGGGCAATGGAGAGGTCATTAGACAGCAGGAACATTTTTATGTCATCAGAAATCCAGTCTGCTCTTGAAGATCAAACTCAGTGTTCTGCTCTGCTCTGTCAGTGAGGAAATGTATTTGTCTGTTTCTAGCTGTGCTGCGTGTAGCTGGAGCCCTGCAGAAGAGCACAGAGGTCATGAAAGCCATGCAGAGTCTAGTCAAAGTCCCAGAGATCCAGGCCACGATGAGGGACCTGTCAAAGGAGATGATGAAGGTCAGCAGCATCCAACAAAAATAGATCCTATGTACAGTTAAGCCTTTACAAAAACTAGAACAATGTGACTGACCCCAATAGCCATTTTTCATAACTTAAAAAAAAGAAAAACTTGCTAAAACATGGTGTCATGTGCACATAATTATCTTTCAGGCTGGCATCATTGAGGAAATGCTGGAAGACACGTTTGAGAGCATGGAAGATGGAGAGGAGATGGAGGAAGCAGCAGAGGAGGAAGTTGACAAGATCCTCTTTGAGATCACAGCAGGTAAAGGAAGAAATAACTCTCCAGACATGATTACATTCATGGTTCGTAATAAGATTTTGGCGTCAACTTGAAAAGTTTAAGTCTGAATCACAGACTGATAACAAGCTGATAATTCTGAAATCTCTGCTTGTGTTTGCCCTGCCAGGTGCTCTTGGGAAAGCGCCGAGCAAAGTCACAGACGCTTTGCCTGAAATGGAACCTCAAGCAGCAGCTGCAGCCTCAGAGGATGAGTCAGAGGAGGACATTGAAGCGATGCAGTCCAGATTGGCTGCTCTGAGGAGCTAAGGTGAACTGCCTCAGCTCTGTCTGTCAAAGTCAGTTTGCTCACTCCATAAAGGACAGAGACAATTCTGGTGCAGGGTTTACAGTGCTGAGAAATCCCCCTTTGCTTCGTATTACAGTTATAATTTCACATAATCATTTGGGGTTAACTTTGTGCTATAACAGTTAATGGTTTTTATATAGAACCTCTGGTTGACTCTGCCAGAAAAAAAAAAGTGGTTTTGCTTTTTGTCTTTAATTACCCAGGGCTAGCCCTCGGTAAGTCTTTATTATCCAAAGTCAAACAGAAGATTTAAGAAGGTGTATATAATGTAAGTATGAAAAGCCTGCCGTGCCTACAGCGCTTCATCTTATTCTTCTTCTGTCCTAAGTTACGGGCTGGTTGCGGCGGTACTTGGGTATTTATGATCCAAACAAGTGACTAAATAACTTTTGGTAAGTCACGTCCTAGATCACTGTTCAGCAGTAGTTTTAATCTCTTAGGATACGTTTTGTAAGCGACAGCTGTTCTGTTTACCAGTAATTAGCCGACAATATCTGAAACACTAGAGGTGATGGGGCGAATTTCACTTTTGATAGTTGATTTTCTGTACAGTTAAAATGTGTCTGCTCTATATGTGGTCCTACTTGTTAAGTTCACTCATGAGAAAGTTGCACGCATACAACCCTAACTCGTTTCTTTTGCATTAGCATTCAGCTTGTTAAATGTTTGACTTTGCATTACAGTTGAGTTTCTTCTCTACAGGAAGATGCAGAGGAAATAGAAAAGTTGGTCAGTGCAGAACTTATGTATTGTGGAAGTATCGTGTGTATAATTTTTCTATGTGAATGGAGAAAAGAATAACAAATAAACTTTTAAGGACAAAGGTGACAGTAACCGATGTGATGCCTGTTTCTGTACGTTTAACATCACGATAATTCCTAAATGTTCTCATCAGCAGTAGGTGTTTGGCAGATGTGAAGCAGCCAGTGAGCAACAGCCCACTCAGCAGGTCACAAAGTGTACTGCACCGACTCTTTAATGCTGTTGACACCATCGACTGTCTGGTAGATAAAATGGCTTGCGGTTGGGAAAAATATACCATATAAAGTGTTACATGACAGAGATTTGCTGCTTTTCATCATCCTGCAGCTCAGGAAGTGCAATCTGCCATTAGTCAAATGGTGCAGAAACGATGTCAGATTCATGTCAGGGCTTTTTGTTTCACCTGTGATGTAATGGGAGTAGAATTACGCCTTGTTGATACAAGGAGGGCAAGTTTAGTTTTTTTAGGAGAGTGGTACATTTTGGTCCTAGTTTGTTTTGAGGCCATTCTCTTGGCTTTCAAATGAACAAAAGGATTAGGTTTCTAGCAGCCACAGCCCTCCCTCAGCAGCTTTTGTGTTACTGTAACAAAACCTTGCTTCTGTTCTCTGGCTTCACTTTGTACTCCGAAGCCAAGTTACAGCAGCTCCGATAATGCTGCTGTTCTCAGGTGTAGCGATCACAGATAAAGCATTTCAAGGCCGAGCAAAATCTCACACCTGAGCATTTTGATTCCAGTTTCAGTAGCTGGTGATTTGACATAAATGTAGTCTTGACATGTTTGTGGTATAAAAAAGTGATCTGTCTAACAAGCAACACCTTGTGGTTTGATAGCGGGCACTGAATGGTACACGTCTACTGTCAGATAAAGCAAATATCAGCAGAAACTCAGTGTGTTTAGGGATGTAGACTGTAGGTTTGCAGGGAACGGCCTGACAAGGGGGGAAAAAAAACTCCTGTGAGCAGCGATTCTCTCGGAAAAATTCCTTGTCAATGATTGAAGAGGACGGTCAGACTGGTTTGAGCAGATAGGCAGACAACAGTTCTCGAATATTTACTTGAAGGTTTGCAGAAAAGCATCTCTGAACCAACAAAACCTTTGACTGTGAGTCAGATGGGCTGACAGAAGAAGAAACAGGAAGCTGAGGCTGCACTAGAAACCGGACCACAGAAGATTGGAAAAACGTTGCCTGGTGGTCTGATGAGTCTCGATTTCTCTTCTGCTGCAACATTTAGATGTTCAGGTCAGATCTTAGCATAAGCAACATGACAGTATGGCTCCATCATCGACACTAAGGCTGGTGGTGGTGGTGGTGGTGGTGGTGGTGTAATGGGTTAGGGCACTGGTTCTCAAACTGGAGGTCACCAGATCATTGTAAAAAAAATAAATGAATAAAATAAAGCCAACGTTTATCAAATAAATGTGTATTAGGGCTGTCAAAATTTAAAGTGTTTACTTCTTCCCACTCCTTTTTTGAACTATTATGATTTGATTATGTGAAATGATTATTCTTTTTTGCTCTTTTTAACATTATTTTCTTTTGTTTTTATAGTTTTTTCCCCTTTCATTTGTTTGAAATAAATTCATTCATTCAAAAGAAAATTAATTAATGTAAAGCAATTAATCTGTGGAATTAACACATTAAATTTTTAACACATTAATTCATGAACAACAAACTTATTACTCGTGATATATTAAGAATTCAAACTGGGGGGTCACAAACACAAACTTATGTTATCTTGGGGGTCGTGGCTCAAAAACTTTGAGAACCACTGGGTTCGGGAATGAGTTCGTGCCACACTTTGGGCCTTTTGGTACCAACTGGGCCTCATTTAAACACCACAGCTTTCCTTATTATTGTTGCTTCTGCACATCTCTTTTTGTGCCACATCACAAAGCTCCGATCATGTTGGATTTAGCACGACAATCACTTTCCTCCACACTCACCAAATGTCAATCCAATATGGGATGAAGCACATGATGAAGGAGCTGACCACAAATCTGCAGTAACCGGCTGCTGTCATGTCAATATGGATCACAACCGCTCAGGACACCTTGTAGAAGCTCTGCTATGAGAAATGAAAGCATTCTGTGGAGCTTTGCAAGGTTGAAAACGACCGTTTTGTCTTGACTTCTGTAATCTGCTTAATCTGGAAATGTTGCTCCTTGCTCATTATTTCAATGGTGGATTACAAACCAGGCAGCTGCCCCAGAAACCTGTGAGTTTACCAGCGTGTCAGGTGATTAGCAGTAATTTGATGAATTGCACATTTTTGCACTGAATTTGGATTACGGGATCAACTGAGGTAACATCAAGGCCCTAACAAGTAAAGAGGTCTTGAGTCAGAATCTAGTTTAAAGAGTTTATTAGATTAATTTCTATTGTCCTTAACGATTAGTGGATATTTCTCAATCAACAAGGGGGGGAAAGGGTAAGAAGTTTGATATTTAATTGGTCATTTCAGATATTTTTCAAGCAAAAACACCAACAAGTCTCTGGTTGTGGTTTCTCCAATGTGTTGTTTTCATTGTAAAGGGAAATTCCTGGAGGTTTTGGATAGTAGTCAGTCAAAAATTGGCAAACAGAAATATATTTTCAGACACATTATAAGCAAAACTGAGACAATAATCTGTAATAATCAGTAGTTAATATCATTGCAAATATTCCTAAATGAAGATGTTTTATTAAAATGATCCCAAAACAACTAAAAAATTCTGGAAGCAGGTAGGAGACAGTTTCTGAATCTCTGTGCTCAGCTGCTGCCCTGTGTGATGTCATGTCTTACTGCTTCATTAAACCATAAAACCGGCGCTGACAGGTAAAGGTGGATCCTGGAGGAGGCCGTTTCCTCAGAACACGTCAATCAGGCTTCACATCCAAACCAGCTTCTGATCATTAGGACTCATCTGCAGCCTCATGCTGAGCGTGTGTCGTCTGCGCAATGCAACACTGCCATCTATGGATAAGACCTCCAGGCCGCTCTCTGTTTATCCTCCCGCATCACGTTGCCGCCTGTGTGCGTCCAGACGCAGCCGCCTGGACGCGCCTGTCATCTGGAGGAAACTCCTCCCCGCAGACACCGCGTCCTGTCGCCTCTCCAGCGCAATGGTCTCCTGGATCATCTCTAGACTTGTGGTGTAAGTCTTTTATTTATTTATTTTTTTAAATGATCATTCTACGTTCTCTGCCACAGATTCGGGGATATAAATAAAGCGCGTCTCCAGGTTGTTGCGGGCGGCGCGTTCCAGCCGCTCATTGACGGTGCAGGAGCAGCGCGCGTTACGAGCCCCCGCAATGATTATTTTTTTTCCAGTATTTTTTATTTTTATTGTGTGTGTATCTAATATTTGATAAGAATCGGACGTCAACGTGGAAGGAGAGCAGGTGTCTCTCTGTGAATTTCTGCCTGGAAGCGGCTCGTGTTTGGCAGGATTGTACTTTGCCATTTGAGCAGGAATGCTGAGCTGGGCCTATGGAGAGCTCCCGATCAGCAGTCTGCCACTCTTTGTGTTTTTATCAAGTGCATGTTTTCTACAACAGACAAAGCGATGACGTGATTTACTGAATAATGTATCATCATATCACGAGATGATTTAAATAAATGAGTCAGATCCAGAGAACCACTGGCGTCTTTCATGGCCCAGAAGCCCAAATGTCAGTGAGGTGACTGAACAACAGGAGCGGTCTCTGAGTGGAGCAGGATTCACTGTTGATGTCCCATATTGGAGAAGGAAGGAGAAAAAAAAACAACAGGGATGGGTCAGGCTTCTCAGGTTGCAATGCTGGAATTATTCATGTTATGATCATGTATGCATTCGTCCAGATATGCTGCCTCATAGTCTGGGGCTTAAACAATAGTGTCACATTATGACAGAGGCTATTTTTACCTGCACAAAGTATGAATCAGCACCATTAGACCTTGTGGAGGATCCCACCAGCAGGCCCGAACCCTTAAAATAGTGAGGGAATTAAATTTGGATTGCAAGATCTTGTTACTGGGATTGGACTGGCTCAGCTGTGGCTCTCCAGAACCTGGTTATGTGGGTCATTTTGGACCCGTGCAGCCTCCAACAGGAAAGCTTTAGGTTGCGACTCCCAGGGCTGATATTTTGAGTGTCCTTGTGTTTTTCAAACTGTGTTAGCCGCCCAGGACAGAGTGCTGCAACGTGATGTGGGTCAGTAATTTGATCAGGTCGCACTCACAGCTGTTGCCTGGTTGTAGCTCTTCAACAGGGTGCTGGGTCTGAGCGGACGCCCGGCGCCACAGGTGTCCACATAGGAATAGAAATGTGAAGAAAAGGGGACAACACATGGACACTAATTTTACTTCTTGGAGTTGGTCAGCTGGGGCAGCTTGTAGCCAAATCAGTGACGTCTGACTATTAGCTGGTTTCATAGTTATTTAAAAAGCTGTTTCTGATTCCTCTTGACCTTACCTGACCACCTGTTTGTTATTTCACTGACTGCAGAGGGCTCAGGGCTAAAAATGCACTGAAATACAAATAATAAAACATTCACAATGACATGGATTTCCTAGCAAAGACGAATGCATTTGACATTTTAGACTTAACCTGTAATCAGTCGTCCATAATCCTGATTT